ACTACTGCAAGTACAGATTTCAGGAGATAAATATCATGAGTTTCAGAGATTGAGAGGGTTTTGTTAATAGGTCAGTAGTGTAAAAAAAACAACCCTTCAATAGGTATATGTACCAAGTTACTCACAGTGAATATATTATGTATCGCAAAATTATACTAATACAAAAAAGAAAAATAACTTCAAAATTCATATTCCCTAACATATTGTTGCTTGATTGTAAAACAAATTCCTGTTATCTTTAGTAGTAAAGACTATAATCATTTTAAGAAATCAACTACTCATTACTTCTCTAGATTAACTGTCATTTTAAACTGAAATACAGAGTATTATAAAAGACATTTATATACAGATTTTCCATATCAAAAATAAAACTATATTCAAAGAATTAGGTATGGAAATGCTTCAGGGATCATTTTAATTGGTTTGAGTAATTTTTCATATCAGAATATACAACTTGCCCCATATAGTTTTAATATAGTACTGTTCATAGAACATACAGTGCTGTCAAAAATTGTAATACAAAGAAATTCTATGTCAGTGTTCAATTATACCATGCTAGATTTAAAACTGAACAATACAATAAAGCCTTTGAATAGAGACCTGTTGCTAAAGGTTCTAATCACTGCAGAATAAATAATGACCACAACAGACAAATGATAAATAAAAAATGTCACTTATATCAAATAGTTAATATACCTAGAGAATGAGAATAAACTAAAAAACTATTAGAATGAATAAAAAATATAAGAAAATAATCTACATGCAAGATTTATACTTAAAATCCAAAGAATTTCTACTTGTTAATAGTTACAAAATCCCTGGCAGTTGATTAGGACAAATATCACTGATAATCATAATCTTATAATCATATGCTTACAACAAATTGAATAAAAAAGTAGAAACACACATGAAAAAAGTTTTTATTTTAATGACAGAACACCAAACTAGAAGCGTAACATGTTCAAAACCACTAAAAATTGAAAACTGATGCAAATACATAGTTTACCAAATCACAAACAGCAATCAATTATGAAAAGACAATCAGCTTCATCCAGGAATTTATACAACTTTTATATGAGTTACTTTTCCAGTTACCACCTTTGTAAAACAAAAAACAAAACAACTGTTACTAATAGTACTGGCAAGAAAAATGGGTTTTAATATGCTAAATTGATACAGCTCTTTTGGTCAATAATGTATTTATTTAAATCAAAAACTTTCTAATTCTATTTTGGGTGCATGTTTTTCAAATATCTGTGCACAATAAAGTACATGAAAGTTCTCTCAGAATTCTGTAACAGAACAGATACATCATTGGGTAACTTCTGGTATATTAATGTGATGGAATACTATTCCAAGCACTAAGAATAAAAGATACATAGCTTTCAAACTTGGGTGGGCATTAAATTATCAGGTAGTAAAATGTCCACTGTTGCCAACTCCAGCGATTCTGATTCACTAAGTGTGAAACTACGTTCATGAATTTTCGGTTTTACACCAACAGGATTTTGCTAAAGGTGGTTACACTGGCTACTCTTAAAAATACTGGTCTACAATGCAAGATATATTAAGTGGACAGGGTAATTTCTAAAATAAAATGTACTCTGTAACTCCATTTATGTTTTAAACAAAAACTACCTGTAGATGTAAGTATGAATGAGGTATGCATGGAAATAAACTCATGGAAAAAATCTGGGAGGATATGTAAATTTGTAAAAATATTGATCTCTGGGGAAGGGATATGGATTTTTAATGATGGGGAATGAAAAAGATTTTCACAGAAAATTTCTGTGGGTTTTCTTATTGTACAAAGAATATACTTAATTTTGACCTGTATTATGTTAAGAACAAAAAAAAAATCGTAAGATACTCTGTTGCTGTGACAAAATACCTAAGAAGGCCAACTTAAAGGAGGAAAGCTTTATATTGGCTCACATGGTTTCATTGCTATGGGTCTAAAGTAAGGCAGAATATCATAGGGGAAGTGTGTGGACAAGGAAAACTCAACTACAGCATCCAGGAAGCAGAGAGGGGCAGAGCCTGTGCTAATGGGCTTCTTCCTTTTACTTCTGGTCCACCAGTTCCTCAGCCTATTGGACAATGTGCCTACATTCAGGGCCAGTTTTCCCTCTGTTTGCCATCCCATATGTCAATCTTCTCTGGAAATTCAAAGACACACCCAGAACAGTGCTTCACTGATCTGCTCATCTCTCAATTCAATCAAGTTGACAGATCAAGATTAACCATCATAAATACATTTTAACATCATAAATTTAATTTGTTTCTTAAGTGACAATTCACTTTTGTAGAATTATTATTTATTAACATGACAGCTGGTGGTATAACTTGAATACTCTTTGCTTTCAGAGAAGACATTCCTTTTCATTTGTCCATATATAGGTGCCTTCACTACAGACATCTCTGCAGCATGGTAACAGCACCCACACAAGGACATTTCCTTTTCACAACACCAGGTTCTATCTGACTGGCTAACTTAAGAGGAAAAATTCTCTGGGGTGAAATGTGGTATTTTTAGCCCAAAAGCAACAGTTTCAATTAGGGTGGACAAACGTACGCAGGAAGAACTGCTTCTTTCTGTGTTTCCCAAAGGAAACCACAGATGGGTAGAACAAGTTAGAGTCTTTTCCTTAAAGTCATGGTGTTATTTTGGGAGCATGAAACCTTGGTCACTGGGGCCTGGGTTGTGAGGGATCATAACTAATGACTTCAAGTAGAAATTATTTCATGAGTTTAAAGTTGACAAGTTATCTAGTGAAGTGGAACATTACTAAAATAGTCATTATTACAACATGCCATCACTGTTTGAAACTAGCTAGTAATTACATACCCAGATTTCTTGCTAAGAAATAGTTACTATGTAGTTTGCATTTTGATATTGTAAGACTAACTAGAAAATAAACATCCATACAACCAACATATAATATTCTAATGCATGAATCATGATAAATCATCATGCTACTGAACAAACACTTTAGCGTAATTTTTGTTCTTCAATGCTTTTAGAATTAATAAAGAATAAGAATTATTTACTTCATGTCCAATTTAAGTTCTGATTATCCTTGGAAATATTTTACATAATGAATTTTATATCTAGAAAAGGAAAACACCACTCAATCAAATTTTCAGCTGCCTAGTTTTAACTGAGGAAAAGTCGCAATATTACCAAATGGTCTCTCTCTCAGTCTGACGTTTATTTCCATTGCAGGTACTCTACTATCAAATTTCTTCAGACAAAAACCTTTCATCATTTTTCAACATAACTCTTCATTTGTACCCCAATTTAAGTCTTTTATTATATGAGTTACTACCAAATTATTCCAAGAAAGCTCTTAGTAATTTATCCCCTAACATCACTCCAAACTTAATCCATCCAGGAAGTCTTTCCTCCCTCCAAGGATTCTAAAACTTACAGTTTATACCAAGGTCAACTGAAGTCATCCAAGAAAAAACTTCCCTTTGTGTTTATGTATGGTATGTCTATAGCATGGTATCTTAATTAAAATCCTAGACACATGATAAGAGCCAAATTAAAACTATTTTTCAAATTTAGAACCTTTTGTAATCATTCTATTTGAAAATAATAACAAGTTGTTAAGGTTTAAATATGAAGTATTCCTCAAAGACTCATCTGCTGAGATCAGTACTCGTGTGCTGATCCCTAATGCAGCAGACTTCAGAGGTTTGGTCTAGAGCGGTGATTGGACAGTGAAGGTGTGGACTTCACCAATGAGTTCACAGCTGAACAGGCTGTAAGAAGGCAGGGCACACTGGAGGAAGTGCCAGTCACCAGCATTGTGCCTTTGAAGGGTACATCTTATCCCTACTCTCCTCTTCTCTTTCTTCCTTTGTTTGCATCCCAACTGTCATGACCTGAGCGCCTTTCTACCCTCACACAACGCCCACCATGATGTAATCCTAAGGTTACTGATGCGTGTTGAGAAAGACAGTATCCTTCTATAATGCATAACATCTGTACATATTTTGTTCATATCTCACACTACTTGTTCCACTCATTTATTTGCCAAAAGAGAAGCAAAGCTACACCCTTTATGAGAAGTCTGAAAAGATGGCACAACTTCATCCTCAAGACTACTCTTAGTAGGATGACAAAGCTGTTGCCCAATGACTGGGTGTGCATGCCAGAGAATGCTCCGTCCTGTCCCACTGTAGGTGGTGCACTGTGTGATCAGCAATGCAACAGATGCTGAGAATATCTTAACAGATGTATTCCTTTGAAGTTTTCCACCAAATTAAATTAATTAATTGATGAGCAAATGATTTGGCTTATGCAAGCAGGAAATACAGGACATATTTTAGGAGGAAAATAAATCCTTAAAATCCCTAAATTTAAGAGGAGTAAATCCCTAAGATGAAGTTATAACCCTAATACACAGTGTGGGTGATAGAACAAAACAAAAATAATAAAAAAAACCCTGAGACTGAGAATAAAAGAATTCAAATATTTAAACTTTCTGACATTAAAGGTAACAAATGCATGTATAGAATATAAGATTAGAAGTATTGAATACTTTTAAAAGTGCTGAATTACTATAAACTGATTCAAATAAATATTAAAAGTTATCACAAATTTAGTATGAAGGTTAATAATCATACCAAGAATTTTAAATCGGAAAATAAGCTCTGTGTTGCTAAATACAAGAGTTGTAAAATTTAGACCTATGGTATATGAAAAGAAACAAAAGTAAAATACAATACTCCAAAAAGAAGCGGCTCTTCACCATACTCTATAAAACATTCACTTTTCTTGTAGCCAAAATTTTACACCCTAGAAATTTCAGAGAAATATATTAACATGTTAAACTTTATGTGCTATTATGCAATATTTAATGTATAAATGTGTAGCTAGCATTTTGAAAAGATTTATATAAATTATATTTTATTGTATTTCATTATAATTTCTTACAAGAGGACTTTTTGTTGTATTTTGGATTATTTTAATTATATAAGTCAACACCTACCTGATAAAGAAGGTCTTTCTGAGGCAAAGGTGGGGACTGTTCTTCATATACAGGAGGTGGTTTATGTGTGGGAGGAAGGTCGATCCTGTGTTAAAAAGGTTGTATTTAGCCAAACCAAAAAAAAAAAGAAAGGAAGGAAGGAAGGAAGAAAGAAAGAGAACAGAAAAGGAGGCAGAAAATTCAAGGTTCTAATGAGCTTTGGTGATTTTTTTCATACTACAAAAACTAATTACCACTGTACCTACATGTATTTTGCTTATTTTCCTTTCATCTACCAAGTACAGAAAATAGCAGCAAGTATTAGTTCCAATGTTTAAGATCATACTAATTGATTCAAATTTAGTTCAAGCACCACTTAATTAGAAGTTTTTGAATCTTAAGTTACATTCATTTTCCTTGAGATGCAGCGTCTTACATCACTTTTCTGACCCTTTGGAGGAAAGAATAAAGGAATACACATATGACTATCTTTAAAATGTCTGTAGGCATAGCCAAATGTGAAAACATGTAATATTTAATATATACTATAAACATGCATTTTGTATTGTTTTTGGAAATACTTTCAAGACTGATTTTCAAAAGCCCTCCTTGCTCTCGTAATATGAATCAGACAAATTAAGACTTTCAATATATAGGCTATTATGAATCTTACCACTTGAAATGGAGACATATTCTAGGTAGATGTATTTATTTTTGCAAAATGACCTGATGTATAAAAAGCTCCAATATTTGAATAATTTTAAACATCATTTAATTATACCAAAACCAGATTTAATTATACAGGTTGTTGAATTTTAGAAAATAATTTTTATACACAGTCTAATATTTTTCAAGATTATAGATGTATTCATTCCTTGTGATTACTAAATAAGAACATATATATTAAAGAGTAAAGGACATAAAAGCTATAGACACTGAAGTAATAAATTCACTGTGATCTAATAATTTTTCATATGGTAGTAATATCTTAAATAAAAAAATTCAGAAGAAATGTAATAGTTACATGACTTATTAATCTACCTTTAGTCTACTAATCAATCGTATTTTTGAAGATACAGAAAAACAAGATAATCTGGGAACAAGATTAGTTCTTAAACTAATTAACCACATGCAGTCTGACAGACATCGCAGTGAACATCTTTCACTTCGGATAATGTAATTTTTTCATCTGGTGAAAATCACAACAAACTCATAACTACAAGATGTCAATGGTCATCTATGTGAGAAGTCTTAGGTTCATGAAAGTGATGTGACTTCTTCCTAGTTTGCCACTAATCTGATCATGAGAGAATTCACATTTGCTCCCCGTGTCTTTAAAAGGACAAAAGCAAGGAACAGTTGGATTAGAGAAGCACACACATAACAAAGCATTTTAAAAAGGAATACATGCTTCGAATGGCACGTTTTCAACTTTTAAAAATGTTTTTTCCTTTTTCTTTCTCATTGGTATATGTTTGCAATATATAATTACTTCATTTTGGTAAATTGAATATATATTCAAATATGCATATATCTATACACCTATATCCATCTGTTGATCATTTTTTACCACCTTTCCCTTTTCTGTCTCCTATCCCAATGTCAAAAAGTCTACATTCTGTTTCTTGTGTCTTTTTTATTCTACTCTTTATTTATAAATTGAATTTCTCATATAAGAGAAACTATGCAATATTTGACCGTTTGTGTCTGATTTATTTCACTTAACATTATGGTCTCAAGATCCACCTGCTTTCCTATTAATGACTCAAATTTAGCCTTCTTTATGGTAACACTCCATTGTGTTCACATACCACATTTCGTTCGCCCATTCACCTGCCCATGGGCATCAACACTGTTTGCATAGTTAAACTACCTTGAATTGTGGTGCTATGGACATGACTACGTATGTATCTCTGTAATGTAATGTCTTTATCTCTTTTGGGAAGATACCTAGGAGGGATATAGCTCATCAAATGAAACAGTTTTCTGAAAAATCTCTACACTGATTTCCACAGTGGCTAAGGTAAAAGAAAACATTAATAAACTATTCTACAAGTAATGCTATTGGTACAGAACTTCACTTTCTAAGACAACACCATGCTATTCTACTCCCATCAAAACTATGTGAAGTACATAGGAAAATTATTGTTAATTTCACATAGAAGCAACAAAGCTGCTGATGGAATTAAGAGAATTGAGAGAGTGTAATTTCCATCTTATAAACCTATCTCAATGTTAGGCCAAAACACTGGTTTATTTCTCAGTAAGATGTTCATTTTAAAATTTACTGAAACCCCAAATGAATCATTCTCTTTCAGAAGCTTTAAAAGTTCACATAGTTAATAGCAACTTCAGACAGTTGAATGTTCTGTGTATTAAAGATAAGCATACACAATCTGAAGATGCAACTTAAAGTACTAAGATACTTTTGTCTTACACATAGCTTTTCATCAAACACCTGCATGTCTGTTCAGAGGGCAGGGCAATATAAATGTCATTATGGTGCCATCTGGAAAGGTATTTAATCCACTGCGGGTCAGACAGCTGCCATCCAGCAGCCCCTAGATGCTGCTCATTTATTAAGGGGTGGTATAAGATGTTCTCATGAAAGAATGGTCATCTACAAAGGTCTAACCTTATCCTTACTTTTCTATCCCTTGGACAGCTTAAATAGAAACAGCTGTAAAGATAGATATAAAGGCGGATGCACAATGGTACCCACAGATGGAGTCAAGCAAAAAAGTTACCTACACTTTGTCAAGGTAGGAAGGTCGCTTTTTCCGAGGAGTCAGCAGCGCAATCACAAAGACAGCAATGATGAACAGGGCAAGGACAGCTCCGATCACAGCTCCAGCTACAGCTACAGAAGATGTCTGCTTAAGTGGAGCATCTGGAAAGTACCAAACATTAGGCTATTCACACCATTTTGAAAAGTTCTTGAAATCGCATACCTTAACTTTTACAGGGGAAGGCCTATTGGCAGCATATGATGCCGGCTTAGAGGACCGAACGCTGATTCATTGGTTTTAGTATAACTATGCTAACAACCTTTCCTTATTCCCTGTTGAGCACCTCGGTTTCACTTCTTTCAAATTCTGAAAAGAATATCCCCAATCAGACATCAACAAGTTCATCTGTTCTCTATGATCAAGGAATGTCTGGAGAAGATACATTAAAAAGATGAAAATAAGCTTTGCGCAGTGGCATAATCGTAGCCAATGAGGTTTATCCGAGAAGCGATTATAGCTAATTGAAAAAGATGAAAATAATTTTAAGTTATTACACAAAAAGGTGACTTAAAAAGTCAGTCTTAAGAGGTGACCAGCAATATAGATATTTATCATTTTTTTTCTATTAAAATGAAACAGCAACTCTGTTAAAGAAACTAAAAAACCTTTAACGGCAAAAAACCCCCCAAGCAAACAAAAAGAAAACAAAACAGCCACATAGCAAAAAATATATAGTGTTTAAGAGACACTTGTGAGAATTAAGAAATGTTTTAGAACCATTTTAAAACAGGACTAAACATAGTAACATAGTAAATTCTCCCCCATTTGGCTACAGACATACTATATCACCTCTTAATATGAATTTCCTTCCCCGACTGCATCACAAATTCTGCAATGATTTAATAAATGTATTTAGCAATTAGAATTTCACACAACTATAAAAAATTAAATTACTCTATTTCATGAATTCTCAAGTAAGGGGATCTATTAAAAGTACAATTAACTATTTTCCAGAAAGTACGAAGGGATATGACAAAACCATCAATTCTTATGTATGTTACTTTAATAATTCCAGGCATATTAAATCTACTAAATTTTATGAGATGGTTCATAAATTGTAAATGATCCTTCGAACTCCTGATACCGAAAGTAACACTCTATAAACAAAGATGCTGTCTGTGGTCCTGAAGTTATATGACCTGCCTAAGTCCATTCAACCAGCAAGCAAAGGGAGAACAGAGAGAAAACAACGTTGGGATAGAGAAGCTTCATCCTTAAGCCTTTGTTGTGAGAATGCTTCTGCCTTGCATTTTGGGTCCTCTATTTGGTAATGAAGAATTTAGTTTTCACTTAATATGATTTATTCACTTATTCTTAAGTAATTGCAATTGTTAGGATGCAAGCATGACAAACTTAAATGGAATTAGAGAAGTGTCAAGTCGGAAATGTTTACCCTACTTACCAGTTATATTATACACACATAAACACATATTTAGAAGTACTTAACAATTCTAGTTTTATTAATTGTGGGTTGGGACTTTTAATGGCTAATAAGGATGTCTTCCTTTCTTTCCAGATGCAAACACTTGTTTAGAAAATAAATGTGTTAATGATTTTAATTTTAAAAAGCCCTAACAATCCTGGGCCATTTTGTTAGCCCCGTTCTAGACTGAAAATCTTATACCAGTGAGTGCAAGTCATCAATTTCAGTAAACTTTCAAACAATGAACAGAATCTAAACATTGTGAAAATTACACGCAATTATCCTAAAACATTATCTTCACTAGCTGATAGAGTTCAGCTTACCTACAACTGCTGATTAATGCTGCTCTGGTCTTTCCATTTAAGTATGTGCTAGATGAGAAAAAGATTTGAAACCCAGTGCAGTTAAACTTACTCAAAACTTACAAATGTGAAAAAGTAGACTTGGGATTATTTATGGATAATATATTTTACATTATCGTTTTCCCCACCATGAATGTTACAGGTTTGACCAAGACATATACATGTGTGGTGGCACACGCCTGTAATCTCAACACCTGAGAGGATGAGGCAGGAGGACTGTCATGAGTTAGAGGCCAGACTGGGTTACATAGTGAGTTTATAACCAGCACAGTGAGATCTTGCCTCAAAAAATCAAAGGAAGGAAGGAAGGAAGGAAGGAAGGAAGGAAGGAAGGAAGGAAGGAAGGAAGGAAGGAAGAAAAGGAGGGAGGGAACAAGAGAGGGAGGGAATAAAAGATTGTGCAGTTTTTAGTAATAGACCAATTAAAATGTAAGGGATGTGATTCGACTAATATCATTCACCTAGTCGGGGGCACATATAAAAATCTCAATCATCAAATTGCTCCCTATTCCACACTTGTTATTCTAAGTATCTCCCTTGAATGAGATTCTTTTTTGATATAAAGTAGCCCTACCATTCTGTCCAAATATACAGAATTCTGACTATGACAATGACAAAGTTAATACTATATAGTAACACTTGGAAAAATAGCTTTAAAAATCTGATTACTTTTTTAATATAATGCTCCCAAATGAAGGGTCTCAATCTACCAAAAATCATAAATTCATCAAACCTCTCTTCTCTTTGAAGAAAACCGTAGTAATAATCTGAAATTTGATAGTTCTTTGTAAGTAATACAACATACACAGATGTTTAATGCCATTTTCTAACTCTAAATAGGTACTATTTTAAATACCCTAAGTAATTAAATATATGCTATTTTAATACTTTAATTATAACCTGATCAAACTTCAAGTTATTAATTATAAGATGTCTAGTGCTAGGATTTGACTTTCTAGTTCTAGGATACAAAACTGACATATGTATACATGTTCTTCTACTTCAATTTGGACATCTATTTTACTGGCTTCCATTAATTTATTAGTCATATTTATCCTCATTATTGCATGCCTCTTCTTAGTATCAGAAAAGACTGGTAAGTGCTGAAATGAGCAACTGGGGAAAAAAAATGAAATCTGACTCCAACTACCAACTGAATAATTCCCTTGACCATGTAAAACGACGTTAAGTACACATATGGGGGTACATTTTGTATTTCCTTTCTTGACTCATTTACTGAGAAAAGAGAAAGATTTAACTTATTTAAGGATATAAATGTTTTAGACATTAACAGTTAATGAATACCAGTATGTAATAAAAAGAGATCAAATCTTTGCATTCAAGCCAAAGTAATGTATTTTCATTGATGTATTTTGATGAAAATTGAGAATTCAGTCCCAATACTTCTTTTCTCACATAAACCCATACTACATAGACTCCACAGTTCAACTTAAGCACGAGAAAAAAAATTAAGTTTACAAATGTATACATATTTGACATTTTAAAATGCTAATTTACTGCATGACTGATATGAAGCAATATTACCATTACCTTAGATAGAGTACAATATCTAGTAATGTCTCTAAGTTGAAGAAAATGAAAAGTCAAGCGTTACAATATTTTCCTTGAAAAAGAGAGGTATATACATCTCCAAGAACAGCCTCCTGTTATGGCATCTATGATAGCCAATTCATCGGATACTCACCTTTGGGAAAAGAAAACTAGCATTCTCCAGTACAACAAAAGCACACTGTCTTTAATGAAAGATACTATACATATATCTCCTAAGATGTTCAAAAGCCAGTTACAAATCATTAAAACAGTTTTGCTAGAAATTTATTTTTTGAGGCTATGTGCATATGGTATATACTGACATTACACTGAATTAAAGTTTTATCTTTACTATCACTGATACAAATAAAAAATGTGAAAGCCAATCAAACAGATGTCATCTTACTCCAGAGAAAAATGTCTATCAAGAAATCAAATCATAAAAAGTGCTGGCAAGGCTGTGGGGGAAAAGGAACACTTCTCTACTGTTAGAGGGAATGTAAGTTAGAATAAGCATTAGAGAATTCAGTATGATGACTCCTCAAAAAGCTAAAAGTAGAAATTCCATTCAACCCAGCTATTCCCCTTCGCAATTCCTAGGTATCTTTCTAAGAGAGTTAAAGACATAATACAGTGATAAATATATACCCATGTTTATAGCATGACAACTCCTAACAGCTAAATCTTGGAAGTAGCCTGTATGTCCATCAATGGATGAATAAAGAAAATACGGTATTTACACACAGTAAAGTACTACTGTGCCAAACAGAAAGATAAATTTGGGTCATTTGTAGGAAAGTGGATGGATTCTGAGAACAAATCAGATACACAGGTCATGGCTTCTCTTATATAATAAATCCAAAGTATAAATAAAGAGAAAAATAAAAAGAGTGATAAATGGAAACAGGGAGACAGACCTTTTGCAAATGGGAAGGGGATTAAGGGAAGCACACAGGAGGTAAGAAGGGGATGAAAAGTGAAGATGTGTTATGTACATGTACCACGTGCACAATGAATGTAACGTGTACTGCAAACAGGTACCAATAAATATTTTTAGAAAGCATGTGTGCAGTGTTTGCACGCTCACTTTTAAAGTGAGACATGACAACAATCTTTCCTCCTCCGTCCTTTTACCAGGGCTTTGGGGATGACAGCACATGATACAAAGGTGAGTGTAACGGCCTCCACCTTCGCCTTCCCACACTACATTTCACTGGATTACCTGTTTCGGTGCAGCGCTGGGGTTAGAACCCAGGGCCTCACACATGCTAGGTAAGCACTCTACCACTGACCTAATCTTCAAGCCCTCCATTCCTTCATTTTACTAATATGACACCCAAGCCTTTGCATCCATGTAAATGTTTCTCTCTCCCTAATGTTTAATAAAAGCGCTCTACTTGGGTTGGCTCAGTATCCTTAGCCTCTCAGCCAACAAATTACTAAGCACCTGATAGGGGCCAGGCATCATACTAAGTGCTAGAAATGCCAGGACGAATCTTATATAATCCCAATCCTCACCAAAGAGTGAAACATCCCCAAAGGAAGGTCATGGAATTCATGAATTATGTATGATCCAATCAAGTACAGAAACATCAGTACTTGCCTAATATTGAATGAAAATGTGTACCAGCGTACGATCTATGAATTGCACTAATAGCTCCGCTTGTTGCCTCTGTCAAGTGCTCAACCACCGCACAGGTCACAGGCCATATTGTATGCAAAAATGGAGACACTTCCAGAACAAAATCAAGTTCCATCTTTAGTT